GCCAAATGTTTCCTCCTCCAAAGCCACTTCATGCAAACTCCTTGGAGGTTTGGATTTTTGGGAGGAAAGACTGGCTTTAGTTTTGGGAGAGCTGTGCTGGGAACCCTGGTGCTGGCACAGCGATGAATCCCAGAATCCCAGAACGGTTTGTGTTGGAAGGCACCAGTTCAAACCCCCTGCCATGGTTAGGGACGCCTTCCACTAGCCCAGGTTGCTCCAAGCCCCATCCAACCTGGCCATGGACACTTCCAGAGATGGGGCAGCTGAAGGATTGCTCTGGAACCAGGCAGGAGCTGAGCAGAGGGTCCATGGCTGGTGTCTTTGCAGAGCTCTGTGAAGAGCTCTTACCATCATCATCCCTTTCTGGGGCACTCATCTACCTGGCTGGGAAGCACGAAACCTGGGACCGGGGTGTTGCATATTCCTTGATGTGGAAATTCCCTAATTACTAGCAAGGTTTGGGTAAATAAGAGGCTGAGCCAGCTCTCTGGCTGGGTCAGGGAGGTTTAAACTGCTGGAAATTGAATTTACCAAAGATGCTGCAGTATCTCAGGATGCTGTCAGTGCATCAAGTGCTTGGTTTGTGCAGGACACCTGGAATGGGGAAGGAATTTCTTCCTCTCCAACCATGTGGCCTTTAGTATAAACAAGTCACCTTCGGAGGAGGTTTTCTGTTCTCTTGCTCCCTGACTGGAAGGATACATTCCAACATTCATCTCAGAAGGCTTTATCTTATCGTGGAATTCATCTTACAATAAAAACATCTGGGTTTTTGCACATGCTGTTGACTTTTATTTGGTTTATGGACCCATAACTCTTGGGCTCCTGGTTTTATATTGTGTGGGATGGATCAGTGCAGCCTCCAGCCAAGAACCTTAACGCGCTTGGTAGCTGTGTGAGGTTTAATGACTGTATCTTAATTTAAATAAGATAATCTTGGCTTTTACAAGGGAGCTGAGGCACCTGGAGGAATGTCATTTAGCACAGAACAGGGAGCTGAACTAAGAGAAATCATCTCCTACCTGGCTGTCTCTCCCTGTGGCAGAGCTGCTCCTCTTACCCTCATGGCACACAGGATTTGGGGGTTGTAACTCAGCCAGGCCCAGGCTTTTAAACGTCTCAGAAGAAAAATAATCCAGCAGCAGCATGTGCCCCAAAGGCTGCTGCCAGTTCAGGCAGTTCCATACACAACTGCATTTATCCAATGGTGGAATCACCAACCCTGGAAGTGTTCAAAAACCGTGTGGATGTGGCACTTGGGGATGTAGTTTAGTGGTGGCCCTGGCAGTGCTGGACTTGATGATCATAAATATCTTTTCCAACCTTAATGATTCCGTGATTCTTTGATTTTCCAGCCTCATTCTTTCCTCCTCAGAGCCAAACCCAAGTTTCATGGCAGTGGTGGCTGTTGGGATGAAGGACTTGGCTGAGCTGGGTCCCCACGGGTTCCCCACTCACAGGATTCTTCTTCCCTGCAGGTAAACGGCCACCTGGACTACATGAAGCAGATGGACACCATCCTAAAAGCTGTGGGCATTAAAACCAAGGAATACCAGCCAGTAGAGAAGGGCAGTGGCAGTCTTTTCCCCCCTCTAGCCAAGAAATCTCTGCAGGAAGCAGGCAGCAAGGCTCGGGGAGAGGAAAACACCAGGAAAGAGGAGGATGAGGCTGGGGGTGAGGCTCTCCCAGCCAGCTGTGCTCACCGACGGGATTCCTCCAGCTCTCTCCTGGGAGAACCCTCTCTGCCCTGCCTGAACTGCTATCACAGCAGGGACAGCAAGGACCAGGCAGCAGAAGAAGGAGTAAATTAGAGCAGAGCTGCTTAGCCAGCACTAAAACAGCTGTGACACTGGGATTCCCCAGGGATAGAGCCGGCGGAGCTGGAGCTGCAGTTTCCAGCCCCTCAAGTGAGCCTGGAGGGTGGCACTGGTTTGGCACTAGATCAAAGCATTCAGAGCAGCTGCCAACAGCGGCTCCCGGTTCCCACGGACGAAAGAGGGGTGGTTCCTGCCTGTATCTGCACTGCTCCTCAGGAATCCGGGACAGATCCCCATCCAAATCCTTGCAGGAAGCAGCTGTTCCCCCTCAGCACTGCGTCCCTATAACTGAAAAGCAAATGGCTCTGAGGGGATTTTAATCATATCGCGGGGGGGGCTCATCACTAGGAAATTAAAAGCGTTTTTCCACTGGAGATTGGTTTGGTTTGTGGATTTCAGGTGTGTTGAGGGCTCTGCCTGCCCCACTTCGGGCAGATCAGTGTCCACACTTCAGCTATGCTGGCTGGGGAGGAGAAAGGCTCAGGCTGCCAGGGCACTTTCCAATCTCCAAGGCTGTTTTCCTGTCCCCAGGTTGATGACAATGAGTGTTGGAGGGCCCGTTCCTGTTAGAAACACATTTGGGACCCTGGGTGACAGCAGCAGGAAAACTGATGGCTTATGAAACTTCCAGGCTCTCCAAGCCCAGCAACCCACTGACACTTTCCTTTTGAGTCACACACACATCTCCAGCCTTAAAAGCCCCCTTTATTTTTAATTGGCTTAAAATAAAACCCATACTTGGCATAGGATAAACATGAATCTGTTTCATTTCTACCTCCTTCCCTAAAAGTGAATTGGTTCCACTCTCTTCTCCCCAGTCTCAGAGCAGAGGAAAGGACACAGCTTTACATCCCCTGCTAGCAGAGCTCCCAATTCTTGTGGGACTGATCCACATCTTCCATAAAAGCTCGTTTTCTGTCCTGTTTTTCTGCTAAGCCCAGGAAAATGCATCTGGCAGGAGCGTGACAAGTGGATGCCTCTGCTCTGAGAACACCTCTGAGGTTTTCTACTTTGCCACAAGTGTGATGGTACAAACACCTCCCACCCCTGATCTGGGAGGTCTCATTGACTCAGAAGGGGAAGGAGTGCAATTGCACCTTCCAATTTCGGTTCATGGAGGGTCTTCCTCCCGCCTCCCTGATCCAGCACCCCCTCTCCTTCCTTCCCCTGCAGGCTCCCTGCAAACCTTACCTGCAGATTATTTCTCACGGAGTCAAAGACATGGCTGGTTTTGGGGATGATGCCGTAACACAGCAAAGCACAACGGTTTGGGTTCAGTGCCTGGTGTTTCCTCTCCCCAAATCCAACATCCAGGGGGGCTCAGACCTTCTCAGCTCCTTTCTGGAGCAGTGATGGGAGACATCTCTTGAGACAGGCCACAGGGTCCCGCGTGCTGGGGCTGTTTGCCCGGTCAGTGTTGATGCTGCTGGCTGCAGGGAAAGAATGGGATTTCTCCACTCATCCAAGGCTTTGTCCACAAGCAAACACCTAATTATTACAGTCTTGATGAGACAGTAATGAACTATTGCTTTTGAACATTTGGCTTGAAGATCACTCTCTCTCTCTCTCTCTGTCCATCTCCCAAGGCTAATTAAGTACCTAACAGATTTCCAGACTCCATCGTGCATTTTCCTGCTCCTTTTTAACAGGAGTTGTAGTCAAAGTGTGGCTTTATATAAAGCTGTTTTGTGGGAAGATGCACATATTGATCTCTATGCTTGACACCAGCCCCAGGCTCTCTGTCGCCCCATCCAGGGGAAAATGTATTGAACAGTTTGAGGTTTGAACCTGATGAACCCTCAGTGTGTCCCAGTCGCTCATCCCTGACTGCTGGGCCAGTGCCGGCTCCCAGGGGGTACAAAGTACCAAGTAAATGTCAAGTTGGTCATAAAAACTCTTGTTCAGTTCTGGAACATCCATGGGCAACGTGGAAAGAAAACTAGTGAGATTTGCTTGGAGCGTGGCTGTTTCTTCCAGCATTCCATATCCAGGGGATGCTCTGTGTCTGTTTGGATACTGGTGAGTTCCAGGAGCACAGTCAAACCTGTTAATGGGAGCTCAGAATTAGGCAGAAGGCTTGGAGGGGAGGGGTTCAGGGAGGGCACAGCAGCCAACTGTCAGCCCAGCTCTGCAGCCCAAAGGCACTTGAGGAAGAATTTACTAAAATCATTTGTTTTATTGATTATTTTAAGAGCCCACTTGCCACATTACTCACTGTTCTCTCTGCTTATGGCTATGGTGGGGGTGGGCTGAATGGAGGCGGCCTGGAATTGTCATTTAAAAGACAGTATTTCTTTAGATTCCTATTTGAAAGGGGGGGAGAGTGTATTTTCTAATTGCATCATCTAAAAATTAACGGATTGTCAGAGAGAAGTGTGGTGGTCCTGTGCCAAGAATGGGAAGCTGTAGGATGGAGCTGTAAGAGGCACTGATCCCATTACTACTGTCACACAACCCACAAAGCCATGACGAGTCGCATCCTCACACCCCCACAGAACATCCAAAAATCAGTGTTGGACATTCTGCACCCAATTGAACCCCCATAGTGCAGTTCTCCATGATTAAACACGATGGTTTCACTGGGCTGTAACTCACTGCTTAACAGGAAACCGAGACAGACATGCTCCAAGTCAGGAGAGGAAACGCAGCTCCAAGAAGACGTGATGTTCCATGGGCTGAAGCAGCTCCAAACCTCTTATCCATGAGTCATGGGATGTGTTTCCATCACTCCTCTCAGTGCAGTAGGTGAAATGGAGGTGATCCATGTGTGAAAACTGAAAACCAAGCCTTGGTTTAAGTTTAGGGGGACAGATGATCTGGAATCCAAGGTTCAAACTAACCAGGATGGAAAGAATCTTAGAATCACAGAATCACAAAATATGCTGAGTTGGAAGGGACCCACAAGGATCATCGAATCCTGGCCCCCTTGGGATACCCCAAGAATCCCACCACGTGCCTGAGAGTGTTGTCCAAAGGCCACAAGAAGGGTGAGGGACTGGTGCCAGTGAGCAAAGGAGGGATGGAAGAGAGAGAAACAAGGCAGTGACACGTGGTTGAACCTACCCACAGCAGTGCCCCTCCACGAGCTGCGCGATGCACTGGAAGAGGGAATTGGAGCAGCAGCATGTGGGCTGTTTGTGTGGGGCTGAGGGATCCTTCCCAGCACATGGAGCTCTGTGACCCCACTCAGGCCACAGGGGTGCCGAGCTGCCCAACCTGCGGCTCCGCGTCTGGGGGCTCTGCGTCCCACAGGCTGATAGAGGGGGCGTGGGAGGTCAGGGGGGCTGGCAGCAGGTTGGGATCATTCCCCAGTGCCCCAGAGTCAACTGAGTCAGTCTCAGCCTGCAAGGTGAGGATGTTCTTGAGGGACGTGGCGGCACGGGCTCCGCTGTTGGAGTTCCTCATGGAGAAGGATATGGCGCTGGGCCGGGGCTCCCCCGAGCGCCGGCAGCAGGGCAGGAATTTGCCCATGGCTCTCTTGAAGTCCCTCATGAAGAGCGGGTAGATGATGGGGTTCATGGTGCTGTTGCAGTATCCCAGCCAGGTGAGCACATCGAAGAATCCGGCTGGGACACAGCCACAGACAGCCTGGGGGGGCACAGCAGGGATTAGCAGTGTCTCCCACCTCAGCCCCTATCCAGAGCAGTTTCCCAGGCACACCAACATTCCCCTTTCAAAGGAAACCTCCAAATCCCTTTTGAAGGGTTTTTCCTTGCTGTTGCTCCCTGGGGAAGTTGCATCTTTGCTCCCAGAGGTGTTCCAGCGAGACCTTCAGATTGAACCCAGCTGGATCTCGAGTGAAAAGCTTTTCAAAACCCAACACAAAACCCCCACAGGTTCTTACCTGCGTCACATTGGTAATGAAGAAGGGGAGCCAGGCCACGAAGAACATGCCCAGGAGAATGCCCAGGGTCAGACTGGCCTTCAGTGCCTTCTTACTGTGCTTGTTGGTGAACCTCCTGCTCTCACTGCCGGCCATGGGCTGGCTTGGGACACAGGGAATCTGTAGCAGGAGACAGGGAATGGTGATGAGCCTCCCCAGACTGGAGCTGCCAGCACCAGTGCCAGCCTCTGCCAAAGAAAAGTGAGGTTAGGTGCTCCAAATCCTGAAAAAACCCTGCCATTAATTCCCTTCTCCAAGAGACAGGAGCAGGGCATGCACCACAGGCCCTAAACTGCAAATTAGGGAGAGGAAACAATAGAAACCCTCAACATTACCTTATTTTTTTTACTGTAAAATAGGAGGTTCTCACTAGGCTGTTCTTTATAGAAAAACCCAGCTCATGTTTTGGTGAAGACAAAGCCCTAAAGAGGCAGCTCCAGCTGCTGATTACAGCAACAAACTAACTACATTTATAAAAGCAGGATGTGAAACATTTCAGCCTACAAACACCATAACTCAGCCCTCCATCCCCCCCGCAATCTAAAATGAACTGATTATCTCAGCCCTCCACTGTAATCAAACGATGCTCCTTTGCCACTCAGCTTCTTGCCCAAAAAGAGAGCAAAAATCTGGTTAAAAGATGAAATTTGAGGGTTCCCTGGTTGACACCTTGTTTTCAGCCAATTTGGGGCTCCAAGAAACCTTTTGGGCCACTTGCCTTGGCTGAAAGACAGGTGGCGGATGCTGGTTTTCCACAACATGACAAAGCCCCTGAGCATCCCCTGATCCCCTGAGTGTGTTTGTGGACTCCAAAGACCTGATATCCAGGGAGAAAATAAACACTTTATGATATTGTCTGTTTATTCTTTGATTGTCCTTTTCCTTTTGACCGTTTGGTGCATCATGTGGGAGAGCTGGGCAGAGTCCTGTCTCTGCTCTTAGAGTGAACAAACTAAATCAAGGTATTTAAAGACAATTAAGTTTGCCTTTTCCCTGTAGGATATGTGGTCAATAAAGCCTATTACAGGGAATTAGAGCTGAAGAAATACAAACAAGTGCAGCCACGTTTTGGTTATAAAACCCACACATGAAACCAGTGATTGCACAAGGAGGGGTTTGGCAGTTCCCATTAACCAGGTAACAAAAATAGAAGCTTCTGTTCAAAATAAGATGCTCTCCAGAATTTGGCATTTGCTATTAGTTGAAATCCTTCTCCCCCATATGTCTCACACCCACCACAGTCAAGATTTACAAGTGGAAAATCAGATATAAGATTAAAACCCTCAGGGATGATGCCAGCCAAGAGGGGGGCTAAAGTGCCTTTATTTTGCATCACTGAGCATTTTTGCCTGAATCTTATAATTTCTCTGCTTCTGCTCATACTGTTTGTGTGCTCCAGAGCATCTCTCCATTGGTGGGACAGACAAAGGGCACTTCAGAGGGCGTCAGCAAGGTGGATGTTGCCCTGTGGTCTAGTTGCCAAAGCCAGCTCTGGTTCTAAGGCTGTCCAGAAGGCAGAAACACCCCAGGCACCCAAACTGTGCAAAAAACAAGGTCTGCAAAAAACAAGGTCCCTGCGGACACCTTACCTGTGGCATGGTGTCATCAGTAGTGGTGGTGGTGGTCACGTTGGAGGTGAGGGAAGCCACCTGCACCGCCTGCTTGCGGGCAGCCAGGAGGATGCGGCAGTAGGTGAAGGAGATGGCAGCAGATGGGAGGAAGAAGGTGAGGCAAGAGGCGACCAGGGCGTATGGCAAACTGACCACCAGCCGGCACTGGTCTTCGTCCCCCCACGAGGTGACGTTCAGGGAGAGCTCCTCGAACTCCAGCTTGTGCCATCCCATCTTGATGGGCAGGAAGGAGGCCAGTGCAGCCACGGTCCAGGTGGCCAGGATGAGCCAGAGGGCCCTGCAGGAGGTCATGCGCAGCTTGTACTTGAGTGGGGAGATGATGAGCAGGTACCTGTCCAGGCTGATGATGCAGAGGTTGAGGATAGAGGCACTGCAGCACATGACGTCGAAGGAGGCCCAGAGGGAGCAGAAGTCCCTCCGCAGCACCCAGTGCCCATAGAGCTGGTTGAGCATGGCTGGGGGCATCACCACCAGCCCCACCATAAGGTCCGACATGAACAGGGACACCAGGAAGTAGTTGGAGGTGTTGCGGAGGGAGCGCTGAGTGACGATGAGGAGGATGAGGAGGAAGTTCCCCGCCGTGGTCAGCAGGATGATGAAGCACAGGAAAGCGGCCACCCAGCTGCTCCCCACAAGCAGTGAGTGCTCCCCCAGCATGCTGGAATTGGGGGCCCCCAGGTCACCCTCCATGGGAGCTTTGGGGTTGGGGGGACCTTCTCTGGCGTGACCTGTGCTACGTGATCATCGCCAGAGCTGGATCCAGGGGAAGAACGACCACCTGTCTGCTCTGTGTCTGTCCTCCTCTCTCCTCTCCTTTCCTCCTCCTCCTCTCCCTCTCTTCCCCTGCTCTCTCTCTTCACTGGCACTCAGGGCAGAGTGACATTCCCAGGAGCCGATCAGCAGAAGCAAGGTTCCCTCCCCGTTACTCACAGCCAGGCAGTGCCTCGTCCCTGCAAATGCCCCTGCTCTGGGATGTCCCTGGACGCTGCTGCTGGATGCTGGGGATGTGCTGGATGGCAGGATACTCGAGATGCCAGGGATGACAGGATGTTATGGATTCTCTGATGCTCTGGATGCACTGGACCAGGGAATAATAAGCCCCTGGGATGCTCTGGATACTCCAGATGCTCTGCACTCAGGATACTTCAGATGCTGGGGATGCTCTGGATCCCAGGATACTCCAGATGCCAGGGATGTTCCGTACCCAGGATACCCTGGATGTTGGGGATGATCTGGACTCCAGGACGTCCCAGATACTGGGGATGCTCCAGCCCCCCGAGGCTCAGCTCTTACCCCCCCAGCTGGGCTTGGCTCCCTGCAGAGCTCTCTCCCCGGGGCCTCCCGAGGTCCTCCGTGTCCGGGTGATGCTGGTGCTGCAGCCAGAGCCGGCGAGGGGAGGCAGAGCAGCTTGAGGCAAAGACCGGGATGCTTCCAGCCCAGCTCGCTCGGCAGGAGGAAGATCCGGAGTGTGGGAAGGGTTCTCTCCCGCGGCAGAGGTGCGTCCAGCCTGCAGGGTGTGTGTGTGAGTGTGTGTGAGTGTGTGCAGGTGCCAGCCAGACTTCCACCTGCTGCTCTGCAATGCACAGGAAAGGATGCAGAAATGCTGATTCCAAGGAGGTGGGGCTGGAGAGGGAGAGGAGGAGATGAAATGAAACGCTAATTAAAACAGGGATCTGGGCTAAACTACACAAAGTGCCAGCCCGAGAGTTCTCTTTTTTGCCTTAAAGAAACAGCCCTGTTCTCTGCTTTCCCTGCCATCCCTGCCATTCCTGCCATCCTGCCATCTGTGCCAGCACTGGAGCCCCCACGCAGCTAGGCCAGCAGGTCAGTGGCCAAGCCCAAGTGCCAGGCTCCATCCTCTGCTTGATCAGCAGCTCCTAGTGCCAGGCTCCATCCTCCACATTGGGTAATAAAAAGCAAAATTTTGCAAAACCAAATAAAAAAAAAAATCAACAAAACCTGCACATGAGGCCTCAGGAAGCAAGTAGAGGCATCACAAAACTGGATGACGTTCCCACAATCTGCAGCCAGGAATGGAGGGGCAGAGCCAAGGGGAAAGGCTGCACTGGTGCTGGGACAGCCAGAGGGCTGGCCCCTCTGCTTCAGGGTTTTTTGGGCTGACCTTGGGTAGCCCAGATCCTTGTCTGAGGGACAATCCTGCATGCATCCACGGCAACTTGCCCTTTGGCAAGTGGAAGGCAACGTGTGAGAGGACCCAGTGGGTCCTGCTGGTGGCTCCACCCCTGAGTCTCCAAGTGCCATCAGTATCCTGTGCTACCACCTCCACACATCAGAGCCAACACCTTGGGGTGCTGTGAAGGGATTGATTGGGATTTTTTAATTACCCAGCTGCCCAAAGGTGGGTTTTTCCCAACAAATATCTGTGATTTCTGTTGGGAGTTGACCAGAGCTGAGGGCACTGGCTCCAGCACAAACTAGAGCCGTATGTGTGTCTCTGCTGGGCCCCTGGCACCCACCCCTGTGCTCACAGGGCCAGGCACTGCCAGCTGCTGCCCTCCCCAAGACACCACCAAAGCTTTCCTTAACATGCTTCCTTTGGGAAGTTGTGCTGCAGATGTGTGGGGAGTGCCAGCTGTGCATCACACACACCCCCTCACCCCATCCCACTGCACCCCAGTGCTGTCTGTGCTGCCCTGTCACCCACTCAAGGACAGAAATCAGTCTCTTTAGCAAGTCCTACTTTTCTAATCACCTTTTCAATAACTTTGTCATATTTTTCCCAGTGGCTGAACAAGCATTTCAGGCCTGGAAACCACCTCTGAGCAAAGGATGGGGGAGATGCAAGGCAGGGTTCACCCTGCACAGAGACAAAGCCCATAGATACCCTGTGCCAAAGTGCTCTCTGAGAAACAGTTGCTGTCGCTGGTACCAAGAAAAGCTCTGCCCTCCTTCTGCTTGCCCAGGACGCTCTCCTTGGATGCTCCCAGCCAAACCTCCCCAGCCACCTCTGCATCCCTGTGTCCTGGCAGGGATCCCAGGGCAGAGCAGCACACGCAACACTCTGATCGCAGCAGGAGGTTTCTTTGGAAAAGCATTTGCACCAGGAAACCCTCACTTCCTCAGCCCATCTGTTGCCGGGAGAAGAGAGAAACACCACCCTCAGCCCACCCTGCAGCAGCATCCCCAGGTGGGATAAGTGAAGGCAGCAGGACTTATCCCAGCTGGATCCATGCTGGTGCTCAGTGAGGAAGTGATGCCAGAGGGCAAGTCCAGGCTTCCTTCTCAGCCTGGCTGCACCCCAACTTTAGGAGCATCTCAGTGTGCCTCCAGAGCTTTTGCTTCTGAGAAGGGGATTGGAATCACAGAATGGTTTGGGTTGGAAGGGACCTTAAACCCCATCCCATTCCATGGGCAGGTACACCTTTCACTATATCAGGTTGTTCCAAGTCCTGTCCAACCTGGCCTTGGACACTCCCAGGGATGGGGCAACCACAGCTTCTCAGGGTAACCTGTGCCTAACCTTTCAGGAGTGTTTCCTCCTCAAGTGGGAGGTTTTCTGCTCCTGGTTTGGATGTGCTTGCTGGGGAAGTGAATCTGAACTCATTGAAGCAAAATGGGTTTTTAAAAACCTGCCTTGAAATGAGGTCCAAATCCTACCATTATCCCTGCAAAAGCTTCTCCACGCCAGCGGCTCTCCTGGCCTGTCTGTGCTTTCTCCCTGTGCTACATTTCTAGACACATCTGCAGGGATCATGGCTTCCACCGGCTCTGCTCTCCAGTACCACTAGCAGGGAAAGCAAAACCAGACACCCAAGTGTCAACATGGTAAAACACAAAGGGCTGGTGAGACAGAGAGAGTCAAACTGGGATGCTGAGAGACATCAGTGAGGACATCCAGGCAGTCCAGGGATTAATGCAGCAGCCTCATTCCGTCCTTTAACTGGGATGGTCCCTAGGTTTGATTTTGGGCAGAGCCTGGCTAACTACCTTGAAAAGATTTGTGTTTTCATCTGCACAACAGTCCATCACTGCCTACCTTTGCTGAAGCTCAGCTTGTGTTGAAAGGAGGTGGAGACATCCCATTTCAAACACCTTGGACTGCAGCTCCCGGAGTTTACAGGAACAGCCCCCTGCTAAATCCAGCCTGTTTCCACTGTACACTCGTAAAAGGCCACATGATCGTGCTCAGTGACCGCCACGGGTTTCTCCACCTCTTCTTGGCTCTTCCTTGGGAAGACACTTCACAGCATGAAAACATTATGTTAACAGACAGGACACCTCCAGCCCTGCCAGGTCCTTCCTGTTTAGCCTGTCACTGTAGCATTTGCCGCCTTAATGCAAACCCTCTCCCACTTCCCAAAGTTCAGAGAGCTGCTTTCCAAACCTGCGCAGAGCCCCCAGAGCCTCAACAAGAGGGGCAATAAGAGCTGGACTCAAGGAGGGAGGAAATAAGATCGGCACTCAAAGAGAGGCAATAAGAGCTGGTTGCTGGCACAGCACAGCCTCTGGCCCCTCTGGGAGATGATGAGACCTTCCCCAAGGTCAGACTCAGACCAGGGAGCATCACTGATTGCTTCTGAGGGCACATCCACACTGGCCTGGCATCAGTGGGACCAGAGGTTTGCGAGGGTGCTCAGGGAATGCTTGATCCAAACCCCTTTGGGAAAGAGCCCACTGGTTTCAGCCAAGGCACCCAGCCCTTCCTCACCCACAGAGGGATGTCCAGCCTATGTCCAAGTTCTCCTTCATCTGCTCCAGAAGAGCTCCCCCAGGCCCTGAACATCTGGATGAAACACGCTGGATCAAGACTGTCACCTAGTGGCAACAGAGCTGGTGAAGGTTGTGTGATCCCACAGATCCCACGCACTTCCCACACAAGTGGGACCTGACAGCCTGAAAACCTCCCGGCTGCAGCGACACCGCGCCTGGGCCACAGCTGACGTGCAGTTCCCCGTGCCCACATGCACAACACATGCTGAAGATTTGGGGTCAGTTTTCCTTTCAGCAGCTCTCCCTCCTCCTCCCAAATGGAATGCAGCAGAAAGCTGCAGGAGCCACAGTTCTGCCCTGGCCTGGCCCCTCCTGTCTGTCCTGGCTGGTGTCCTGGTGTCAGCACTGCCAAAAACCAGACAGGCATCAGAGCACTGAGCAGTGGAAGTCAGAACTAATTTATTTAAGAAAAAAAACAAAACCAAAACAAAACTCATCAAAAGGGGGGGGAGGCATCAATTACAAGCTCTGGAAGCTCTTGTCAGGACAGCGCCAAAGAATCAGCATTATACAACAGAGAGAGAGGGGCAGCAGGAGGGGCACAGGGTCCACCCTGAGCCTCCCCAGCCCTGCCAGCACAGGGACATCCCGGCCCTTGGGCCCCCTTCTCCCTCCATCACCATTAAAAGTGCAGCAGGGAGAGGGGGTACAGGGCTGGCTCCTACCCAAACTCCCCCTGGCTCTTGGCTTTCCCCTGCAGCCATGAAATGTGAAGCCTCAGCACTCATGGCATGATCCAGGTCCCTCATACCCAAGGAGCCATGTGGTGGCCCTGGAGACAGCAAGGTAAGGGCTGTCACCACCACAGTACCCAGTTGCCTCCTACACACAGCCCCAGAGGCACATCCTGGGGCAAAACACTCCCCAAGAGCTGCCCGATACAAAGTGTTAGGGTTAGATTAGTCCAGATCCAGCAGGTGCCAGGAGGAACAGCGTGTCCACGCTGAGCCTACATGGCAG